GTGGAGCTCTGTTAAAAACACATAAACAGCTTGTGGCCTGGCAATGGCACGTATTTCCAACTTCATGCTTTTACATTCATCAGTCCAGAGTGAAAAAGGCCAAAGCTAATTACCCAACCGGGTCCAGTCTGCCAAGTGGAGTGCTGTTATCACTGTACATCTTTAAGTGTTTGGTGAGAATCAGTTATTGGAGAGAAATTTGACTGATCCATCTTTGCTCTCATTCTGAAGTCAATATTGGAGACACACTGTGTAGTAGCTAGAAGAAATCAGTGAAACCTAAAGGGGAGAGTAAAAAAAAAAGTGAGGATGCTCACTGTGTGCATTATTTGTCTACACAGAGCACGTCAGATTCCAGTGCACCCTGAATTTGCTCTGTTGGATGTGATCATGCTCATCCTCATGCTCTGTTTTATCTCATCAAATCCCCGTGTGGCAAGACAGCGCAATGGTGTGGAGATTAATCAGACCTGTGTTCAAAGTTATTACATTTAATTGGATTGATTATGATTAATCATTCTATCACTCTATGGCTGGATATTATTATCATACGAATTCATGTTTCTCTGTTGGCCCATCAGAAAAAAACAACATTAACCCCCCAACCGAGTAGTAAGAGACAATCTGACCTCGCCAACATCATCAAAAGCACACACATTTCATACTGAACTTCTGTTCAGCTGTAGAACAAACTGCATCCTTTACTGCCATGGACTATATGGCAAATAGCATCTGAAATCCAATAATGCTACTATGTGAGGATGAATGGCCGAGCAGTAAACATATTATATCTCCAATAAAACTCACATTGCCCTTCTTCTTGTGCTATTAAACTGAAAACATGCTACTTTGTAATGATAGTAGCTCAAGCATTGTGGGACACTGGTGATATTTTCTTTTTAGTAAACTATAATAGAGCTCAAGTGAAGTTTAAATTGTGAGCGATTTCACTTAACCAGTCCATCACAATAATTGTATTCACTGCCTATCTCAGTGGCAAAGTGATCCTTTTGTTCAGCATGAATATTCCATTTAGTACCTCAATGTTTTCTGGTGGTGCAGCTGATTCACTGAGGGCAGTTCATTGTTGTAAACATAATGGCGTTTTGTGTGTATTTACTGACATTACTGTACAGGAAAATGATGCCTCAGTCTGTGCTGATGCCTGGTGTTGCTGGGCAAATGACCAAATCAGATGCACTTAAACTTAAGCCGTGGCACACTGACAGGGTGCTTTTTTTTTTGTAAATCCATGTTTCCTAAACTGCACACAGTTATCTGGTAGCTGCCTAGTTAAACCACAGTTTGTTTTTTTCTTAATTCGTGGCTGCTGAGCAGATCCACTGAAACGGTTTGGGCAGCACATCAGTGGGGATAAAGAGGACTAGAATAGTCGCTGGGAGTGTTTTATTCATTTACTTCCCCCACTGAGATTTTTTTTTAATCCTGTGTGAGGACCGAAGCCAGTGACCTTCAAAGCACATTCTCACTTCTCTGATCTACAGACTCCTGCAGTTCCCTACCACATATTTGACAATGATGATACCAGTGTGAAGGTTCCTCTATATTTACCACATGTATGCTGATTTCTCTCTCTCTTTGTCCCACATGCAATCTTCTTCCGAGTTCAGTGGCAGGCTGCACACCAGAAAACAAAGTGTTTCCCATATGCACTTATCTTCATGGGCTATAAATGCGTTATTACTTTATTCAAATGATATGCCCATAACTTAAACAGATTCTCTCCCACATGCAAGTCCAGTACTAATCTGGGAGGATATTAAGAAATACATCATTGCTGAAACTTACAACTGGAGCTCTGGGACAATGAGCACAAAAAGCTCTACAAGTTCACATGAAAACCTGCTTTGTTTCTGTACATTTGCATTAGGCATCATGCCAGTATGGTCATAAAGTCCATGCATTCACTAGATTTGTGATCAATCAACCAACATTTAAATGATTAAAACAGTGATTTAAGATTCTACAACGATGAGTCCTCAAAATAAGACACAAGACATTTTTATGGGTTTCAAAAATAAAACTCTCCAGACCTGTCTGTTTTAAGGCTTAAGGATGTTAACTGTCATTCTAAAACATTTATATTATATACATGAAGAGAATGAAATAAAGTTCTAATGGTCCAGTTAGGATAAATAATTATATAATGATGTAGAATCTATCAATGCCACAGCATCCGGAAAGAAGCTGTTCCTGAGCCTGGTGGTTCTGGCCCTGATGCTGCGTAGCCGTCTGCCTGAACTGAAGGGAGGCACACAGTCTGTTAGCAGGGTAGGCAGAGTCCTGCATTATGCAGTCAGCCTTTTTCCTACACCTGCTGTTGTAAATGTCAGCGAAGGTTGGTAGTTTGCAGCCAGTGATCATCTGAGTAGTCTTAACCAGCCACTGCAGAAAAGTAGTTAGCACACTGTGATACAGGAAGTGAGGATGCTACATATATACACGCTCTACTTGCATTTACAGCTTGTAACTATGCAGCAGGTATTTAAGGTAAAGCTAGTTCAAAAACACCAGTCTGTGTTTGATTTATCTCCTTGGGGAAACTGCATAAATGGCACATCTTTAAAAGAGACATTTTGTAAGCTGCTGCTATCCTGGGACATCTGTCTGGTGTAAAGTGTCACATAAGCAGGTGTGAATCAGCCATGGTGATGGGAATAATAGGTTGGGGGGGGGTGTTATTCACTCTATTTACCTGGGAGGTTTGGGGCACAGTCTGTACAGCAGCAGATGATGCTGGTGTGAGTAAACATTCCCAGTTCACAGCGTTCACTGGGTTGAAATGATGCGGTCCTTTCCAGGATCACTGGGGAGACGTGACAATACACTCCAGCCTAAATGATTTGATAAAAATGTAGTGTTTGATTTCAGTGGCTCCAGAAAACAGTCCTGAAAAGTAATCAGCAAATGTTTCCTCCTTTAAATTAAAGCTCTTCCATCTGGTACTGAGTCCTAGTAACCTAAAAATAATGAATTCATTTGCACTTTACCATTTTGATGACCTCTAAGTCTGAGACAATTTTGCAGAGAGGCGTCTCGATGAGCTGTTGTGAAGAAGTGAGACAGTGGGCTCCAATTTAAATGATCTTCCTCAGACAATCAGGCACAGTCAGAGAGATTGCATCACTCTGGACAAAGTCAATGTATTTTGGAGTTTGATCTCTGTGATTTCACAGACAGTAGCAATGTCAAACGTGTCCTTGGTGTAAAACTGAATCTACTGGTCATCAGAAACTAGAACACAGGCATCATTAAGTTGGAAGTATAGATGTCCAGAAGGTCACAGAAATTAAATAAACTTCACTGGAAACATAAGGAACATTTCTCCAACTTGGGAATAAGATTTCCACAAAAGCTTATACTAGAACTAGGGAGATGTTTAACCCTTGTGCTCTGTTAAAGTGGATTTAGTCACTTATCAGAGCATTTTTCTGTCGGTAGTCAACATCCTTTCTTAGTGAACATTGCTGTTCAGGGATTTAAAAAATGTTCAGTTCATTTGTCCATTGTTTGCCCATCAACAGTTGAGAGCTCAGATAAGGGTGAAGAGCGCCAGTCTAAATGAACTTTTGAGTTTCATTAGAAAAATTCAAGTTCAATTTTATTTGTATAGCGCCAAATCACAGCAAACGTCATGTCATGACACTTTACAAAGTAAGGTCTAGACCTTACTGTTATCAATATTATTACAGAGGAAAAACCCAACAAATCCCCCATGAGCAGCACTTGGCGACACCAGGGAGGAAAAACTCCCTTTAACGGAAGAAACCTCTGACAGACCCCGGCTCTTGGT